AAAATCTTAAAAAAAAAAAAGGCCCGATGAACTTCTGTACCTCAGGATAATTCATAAGAATTTATCTACTGGCTCTCGTTTCCCATTATCAAACCTGGGGTTAACTCCCCTCCACTTCCAAGTTATACATGCCTGGCCACAGAGCATGTCCTGTGATGTCTCCTGCTTTGGGAGCAAAAGCAATTCCCCAAGTGGGGAAAGTCAATCTCCACTCCCACAGCTAGGCAGAGCCCACGTAGACTGGTGTCAGACCAGGTGGCAAATTGGGGTGAAACAAGTGATCCATTCTTCTATTCTTGAATGAATAGAAGATCTGCAACGATCTGATACAGGGGTTCCTCCAACCAATGAGTTCTGATTATTGGGAGAAAGGGTACAGGCCCTCAAGTTCCAAAGAGAATCACAAAGCTCAACAAAGAACCAAACCTATATTTCACTGTATCATGAATGTGTGTATAGGGGCTTTTAATTTCATACAAACTGGTCATATAAATTATCCACTTGGCTATATTTTCTTGCAGTAGCTGAAAAAACAAGACTAGTCACCCAATTACACTGTGCTAGTTTTTCTTACAGATGGCCCATTTCAAGGGCAGGTTTCTTTCTATACAAATATCTAGCTTGAAATTTCATAGAAGCCGATAGAAATTTGTTTTTCCATACAAAATTACACTTTGGTGCAAACATTTTTAGAAACAGTGAATATGAACAGTTAAGTCTGATGAAGCTGTAATGAACAATCTCTGTTTTTGGGGACAGACTGATAACAACCTCTCTATTTTCTTTTCACTTTCTCGCACATAATACTAATTGCTAAAAGGGAGGCAGATGAATATAGAATAAACCATCTTCAAGTTAGCAAATTTGAAAATTCTTGTGTCCACAAATCCTAATGGATACAGAGACGTGAAAAACACTCTTCAGTTTTTTGTTTGTTTGTTTTTACTTTTCAGTTTTTTGTTTGTTTTTGTTTGTTTGTTTAGATTTTTTTTTTATTGGGGAATTGGGGATGGGGAACAGCCAAGTTGTTGTCCTTCAATCTTAATTGTGGAGGGCGCAGCAAGCTCAGCTCCAAGTCCGGTCACATCGCTCAGCTGAAGGTGCTATGTTCAATTAGTTGCGGGTGGGCGTAGCCCACCATCAAACAGGCAATCTTGTTGTTACACCAGCTGAGCCGTCCTGCCACCTGTTGGCAGCTCAACGGCAGCTCAACCTGGGACACAGCGTCACTGGCCCATGTGGGAATCAAACCGGTGATCTTGTTGCTCAGAGCTCACGCTCTTGGGCAAGCTCTTAACCAACTGAGCCACTCAGCCGGCCCCAAATCACTCTTCAGTTTTACCCTGAGTCCTAGAAAGA